CAATCATCGGGGCCTGGAGGCGGGGCCTGAGGCAGAGGGCGGGTCGCTTTACCGCCCAGGGCTGCAGCGCAAGCTCCGCCCCCTCCCGCCCGCGCTGTGCTGCAGACCCGAACCTAGGTGGTAATCGCTTCGGTGCACCGGGCCCGCCACCCAGAATCTTGCCCGCACGCTGCGGTCGGGGTCCTAGTCCGAGATGGTGCATCTGCAGGTCTGGGAAGCGGAGGAGCCTAGAGGTGCCTAGTACCAATAACCTGGGAATGAGGGCTGCAGTTCCCCTCTGCCCGCCGTGCATGGCTAGGCATTCAAGTTTGCATTCAAAATGCAGCCTCGGTCCCGGGAGAACCCCGAGTGCACGGAGCGACCACGTCGACCCTAGACACATGCTCCTTCTTCCCGGCAGGCTGAAAACATTTGCATCTTAAAATTACCAGCTCTTCTTGCCTGCAGTCTTCCCGCCCCCTACAGTTGGTCCCCATCACAGCGACTCCTGCTTAAAACCCGCCCACGGCTGCCCCCAGCTGAAGGATCTAATATCCTTAGGAGAATTTCAGCCGCCTGTTGTTTTCCTGCTCGGCATCTAACACAATTTTACATAATTACGCCCACAGCCTGAAGTCCTTCGGTACACGGTGAGCTTCTCGAGGCGAGGGCCGCCGCAGATTTCTGGTGCGCTGTGGCATCCCCAACACCTTGACCAGTGGCTGGCATTTAATAACAGATATTGAGCCCTTACCATATGCTATGTATGCTACGGTGATTGATAAATATTTGTGGAATAAATGAATGGATCCTCTCAGGTGTCCCTCTCCAACCTCCCACACCCAATGCCTCGCCCTGTCGTCCCTATGTTCCACAATAGAAATCCATTCTGGTAGCTCATTCACTGCACTTGTCAGGCTGGATCCCAGCGTCTAGTGCTGAATTGTGACCTCCTAGAGCAGTGGTTCTAACCTTCCTAATACTGCGACCCTTTAATACAGTTCCTCATGTTGTGGTGACCCCCAATTTCATTGTTACAAATTGAACATAATTAAAGCATAGTGACTAATCACAAAAACAATATACAATTATATATGTGTTTTCCGATGGTCTTAGGCGACCCCTGTGAAAGGGCCATTCGACCCACAGGTTGAGAACCACTGTCCTAGAGAATAGGTGCTGTCCTTGAATACATTGTTTGTATGTCCAGGACCTAGCTGCCCTCTTTCAGTTAAGTTGTTTGTTGGTTGGTTTTGTGTTTGCTTTTTAAATAAGTCTGTTGCGTTCAGGCACTAGGCTAGATGCTAGGGATACAATGATGAATAACAAGGAACTAGACTGCTGCTCGTCAGTGGGAGAGAAAGAAGCAACAAGCAATAGCAAAGTGCATGGTAAGTTAGGATAGGAGGCCAGGGTCCTTGGGAACATGAAGGAGTTGCTAACTCAGGAGGCCAGAGAAGGCATCCATGTTGAGAAAGTAATTGATTGAATGCATAAATTAATGAATGTGATCTATTTGCTGGTCGTATCTACACATTTAGACTTAATAGCAGGCATGGGTTTTAACCTCAGCTTAGCCACGGGCTAGCTGTGTGACCTTGGACAGTTAACCTCTCTAAGCTTCAGGCTTTTTTAAGTGGAAAATAGGGATGATAATAATACCTACCTCACACGGCAGTTGTGAAGACTAAATAATAGGATGCATATAAATGCTTATTTAAACCAGTGTCTGCACTGTAATAACTGTTCCCTCCAAAAAATAAAATGTTAGCTAAATTAAATGGTAACTAACCATGTTGTTGGAAGATGAACTTTGATAAATTCCCCTTTTATAATATGTTGCTTCCTCTAGCAGATGTTAGATAAAATTGTTGAAAGACTGATTATTTAAATTAATATTGTAAATTGTAGAGGTAGGTACTCACATGAAGATAGAATGGAGGTAGGTTTCCTCCATCGTTCTGGTAAGCAAGGAGGAAACCAAGAGCCTGGGGGTTTCTAGGAACTGGAACACAGGTTCCATTCAGGACTCTAAAAAGAAAGAGATTTGCTGGTTACTTTGGAGACATCAGGACCTAACTCCTCAGAGAAGCTTCCCTGCCCTTCCATTGTAAGTAGTCCCCACTCTTAGTCTTCGTTGTTGTTCTATATCTTAGACCCCTGATTGTTTTCATCCGTGTGGGCATAACAATATTAATTTAGTTTGTTGGCCCTGAACACACATTGTTTCCTTCTCCCCCACCCCACTTCACTGGAGTGCAAGCTCCCTGGTAGCAAGGATAGTGTTGGTACTATGTGGTCCATGGCTGTATCCCCAGTTTCTAAAATGGTGTCTACACATTATAAATTCCTAGTAACTATCTCTTGGATGGATGGGTGGATGGATGGATGGATGAATTGATGGATGGGCAGCCCTGGCAGATGGCCAATGCCTCAGGCTTTCCTTAGAAGTATATAAAGGAAAGTGAAATGATCTTGCAGAAGAAGAAAAGAGAACTAATAAAATTTGTAACCACAGACCCAGAACTGAAGTTCTAGACCACATGGACTCAGAATTTTTAAGGGAGGAACAAAGTGAATATATGGTAGCTGGGTGACCTCAGGCCAAAAAAATTTTACACACACCCACACAGCATAAATACACACATGGAAGTACACTATCCATGGAGACCTGGGGTAAATTAGGATTTGGTAGGCTGTTTCTTACATAAGGCACAATAATCTTTCTTCAGTTGGCCTCTGGGTCACCATCCACACACCACCTCTTGGGTCTCCTTTCTCACTGTCCCCTCCTGCTCAGTTTCCTTTGCTGATTCCTCCTCACTTTCTCAATCTCTGAACACTCGACTATCCCACCTCTGTTCACACATCATAGATTACTTCAACCTGCCTCATGTCTGCAAATGCCATCTGCACACCAACAACCTACAAATATCTATCCTAGCTTTGACCTCTATTCTGAACTCCAGATAGGTATACCCATTTGACTGATGAATACTACCTCCATATCCAAATATACATCTCACCTTTAAAAAGGGACCAGACACATCACCCAATCAGAGGCATAAGAAAGAATTATTAGATTTGCTAGAGCAACTAGGCCAAAGGTACTCTCTGTTGAACTTGAAGCTGGATGGATATATATACCAGGAGCCACTATATAATGGGGAGAGCCTAACTGAGAATGAAGCTAATGCAGAGGAAACAAGAACTGAGAGATGAAGAAACAAGAAGAGAGAACAAGTACTGAAGACATTACTTGAGAATCAGACCTGACCATACCTAAAAATAGCATATTACTATACTTCTCAATTATTTGAGCCAATAAATTCCTCTTTTAAGCTTTGGCCACATTTTGTTAGCTTTTCCACCTCTTGCAACCAAAGTGTACAGATAAGAGACATATTCCATCTCTATTATTTCTGCTTCATCCACCAACAGAGAATCAGTTGTCTAAAGTGTGCACCCTGAGAAAGAAGACACTACTAAGAAGGGTTCCTGGTGACTAACTGGGTTCAAATTTAAAAAAAAAAAAACAAAAACAAAAAAAACAGAGCCTACTTCCTGGCTGGGTGGCTCAGCTAGACTCGAGCATTGTCTCACACACCAAAAGGTTGCAGGTTCAATCTCCATATAGGAGTCTCTCTCTCTCTCTCTCTCTCTCTCTCTCTCTCTCTCTCTCTCTCTCTTTCCTCCACCCCCCTTCCTTCTTCTCTATTTAAAAAAAAAAACAACAACAACAACAAAAAACATATCAGGTGAGAATTAGAAAATCAGAGCCTAGCAGCCATTTCTACACAGGAACCTCTCACACAAACTGCACTTCTGGGAGAGGCCTGCACTGAACTGCCTGCCTCCGCACTGTTTCTGCCATCCGAGCGAGCCCTTAAACAGGAGTTCCTGGAATCCTATTTCAGCCAAAAGGACTGAGACTTTCCCCATCCAAATAGATCCGTGCAGCTCCAAACAACCATAGCGGTACTATGTGACCAGTCAAGACAGTGCCTTTGGACAAATCGAACTGCCAGGATTTGGAGCCCCCTTATTTGCATGAGGACCGGTCAACCAGGGATCAGGGGTGGGGACTTCTGTGTATATGCCCAGCATTTGCAGGTCAGCCTCTGCTCACCTTTCATATCAGCCTCACTCTCTGTTTCTACTTGGTGCTCTCTCTGTCCCAGAGCTCTAGTCCTCACCTGAACTCAGTGAACTCACAGACTTCTAACTTCCAAGGTCCCCTAGGCTGTGTCCCTCACTGCTTCCCATGGACACTTCCTGTTTATTATATTCACCTACAGCGGGCCATTTCTTCCCTGCCCACGTGTTTGTTTTAATAACGAGAAGCAGGACTGGATGGGAGCCACTTCTGTCCCTGGGCTTGGAAAGCCCAATGCCAAATGGTTAGACTCTGGCCACCACCCAGCACCCCCGGTACACTCTGTTCAAGCTTTAGCCTCCTTGTTCCAACTGTTGTACCTGCTGCTGCTTTTGCCTCCCTCCCTCCTGAGGACAAATTCAGCCTGATGTTATTTCCAACTCCGTCATCTCTGTCGTTGCCATGCTATCCAGGACCTTTGCCACTTCCCCTCAGAGACA